AGCTACCGCCCAATAAGTTTGCTTTCTTCAATAAGTAAACTTTTTGACAAAATAATTATGAATAGAATGATGCTTCACATCAATACGAACTCAATTTTTGCAGATGAGCAGTTTGGATTTCGCCATTGGCATTCAACTACTCATCAACTCTTAAGAGTTACCAATTTAATTCGTTCAAAAAAATCTGAAGGCCACTCAACTGGAGTTGCTCTTCTAGACATAGAAAAAGCATTCGACAGTGTTTGGCATGAAGGTTTGATTGCTAAATTGAAAAAGTTTAATTTTCCACTTTACAATATGAAATAAGTTCAAAATTATTTAACTGACAGAACTCTGCAGGTAAATTATCAAAATTCCAAATCTAATCGACTACCTGTTAGAGCAGGAGTTCCTCAGGTTAGCATTCTTGGGCCTATATTGTATAACATTTTCACTTCGGACCTCCCTGATTTGCCTCAGGGTTGCCACAAATCTTTGTTCGCTGATGACACAGGCATTTCCGCTAAAGGAAGAAGTATTCGTGTTATTTGCAGCAGACTGCAGAAAATTTTAGATATTTTCTCTTCTTATTTACAAAAATGGAAGATTTCTCCCAACGCTTCCAAAACTCAACTTATAATATTTCCATATAAGCCTAGAGCTTCGTTTTTGAAACCTAGTAGTAGCCACATAGTCACTATGAAAGGAGTTCCAATTTCCTGGTCAAACCAAGTGAAATATCTTGGATTAATACTTGACCAAAAATTGACTTTTAAAGATCACATTGAGGGCATTCAAGCCAAATGTAACAAATATATAAAATGTTTGTATCCTCTTATAAACAGGAAATCCACACTTTGCCTGACGAATAAACTTCTAATATTTAAACAAGTTTTTAGACCGGCCATGCTTTACGCTGTGCCAATATGGTCTTGTTGTTGCACTACCAGGAAAAAAGCACTTCAAAGGATTCAGAACAAAGTTCTGAAGATGATTTTGAAGTTGCCTCCCTGGTACAGTACTACCGAAGGACATATAATTTCGAATGTTGAGACTTTAGAATGTCCAATAAAATAGTTAATAATTTCAGGCAAAAATCGTTGCAATCCACAATTGCAACGATTAATTCCCTTTATACTTAGATAAGGTTTAGTTTTAGTTTTTAGTTTTAAGAAATCAATTGTTATACTGACATGCAGGTTTAAAAAACCTGTTTAAAATACTGAATTGCCAAGACAGGAACAATGTAAAAATACTTAGATATATATCATAACAATTAAGGCTGGTAAGTTACTGTAGTAACTGGAGCACCTAGGTTAAAATGAAATGTAAGTTATTTTGAATTTGAAACAAATAAAGACTTAAAAAAAACAAGTGAATTTTGTTACAAACAAAGAACAATGAACTTTCGGCTCCGTAAAGCTCACGCGATGTAGCCTTCCAAAGAAACGAACTTGTTAAAAAAAAAAAGATAAGAAATCACATTGGTTAAGACTAACTAACTCATTTTTTCCTTGTTTCAAGATTAGCCTCGGTCCAGGAAACCCGAGGATTTATCACTATCAACAAGGCATAACAAGTAACAAGGACTAAGATGTGTTCATTGGATTACTGAAAAATCCTGTTCCCCTAGTTTGAAGTAGTCATGACTAGGAATCGGTGGTAGATCTTACCTCCCGTAACGTACCACGAAAAGGTGATCTACCCATGTTACGGGGCACTACGTAAAGGGTGATACGGTCAAAATTTGGTCAATATCAACTTGACGTATTTCTTTCAATTTTGCATTTAAAAAACCTAAACACCCCTCATTTTGAAGGTGTGCGTGTGTAGAATGTTGCTCCTATTTTGATTTTGGAATTCACTCTTCAGTTGTCAAAATGCCGTCCAAGCAAGAAGAGCAGCGTATCAAAATTTTGCTCGCGCATCGCGAAAATCCGAGCTACTCGCACGCAAAGTTGGCAAAATCGCTAAAAGTTGCCAAATCAACCGTTACAAATGTAATTAAAGTGTTTGGGGAACGTTTGTCGACAGCCAGGAAGTCTGGATCGGGGGGAAATCGAAAACCGGAAGCCGCTGAGACGACAAAGAGAGTTGCCGGTAGTTTCAAGCGAAACCCTAACCTCTCTCTCCGAGATGCCGCAAATAAGCTGGGTGTATCGTCTACAACCGTGCATCGAGCCAAAAAACGAGCCGGACTATCGACTTACAAGAAGGTAGTGACTCCAAATCGCGATGATAAACAAAATACGACGGCCAAAGTGCGATCCCGGAGGCTGTACACGACGATGCTGACGAAGTTTGACTGCGTGGTAATGGACGACGAAACCTACGTCAAAGCCGACTACAAGCAGCTTCCGGGACAGGAGTTTTATACGGCAAAAGGAAGGGGAAAGGTAGCAGATGTTTTCAAGCATATGAAACTGTCAAAGTTCGCAAAGAAATATCTGGTTTGGCAAGCCATCTGTACCTGTGGCTTGAAATGCAGCATTTTCATAGCTTCCGGGACTGTCAACCAAGAAATTTACGTGAAAGAGTGTTTGAATAAACGTCTGCTGCCTTTCCTGAAGAAACACGGTTGTTCCGTACTGTTTTGGCCGGATTTGGCATCTTGCCATTACGGTAAAAAGGCCATGGAGTGGTACGCCGCCAACAACGTGCAGGTGGTTCCCAAGGACAAGAACCCTCCCAACACGCCAGAGCTCCGCCCAATTGAGAAATATTGGGCTATTGTCAAGCGGAACCTAAAGAAGACCAAAAAAACTGCTAAGGGCGAGCAGCAGCTCAAGGCAAACTGGCTTTCTGCGGCGAAGAAGGTGGACAAGGTGGCTGTACAAAATCTGATGGCAGGGCTCAAGCGTAAGGCCCGGCAATTCGGATTTGGAAAAGCGGAAGCCTAACTGAATATTTTTCCTGAATTTTATACTAATTGAACTTGAAAAAGAAATTTAATTTGATTTTTTAAATAAACGATTTCACCGATTTACACGCGTTTTCCCTTGACCAAATTTTGACCGTATCACCCTTTACGTTAAATTGGACGGCTTTTCCTTTCCCATCATATGAAGCACGTTGCTTGTTAATCAGCATTCAAACATTGAAAGAACGTCAGGATTACGTAAAGATTTCTTTAGTAAACACTATCATTTCGCAACGCATTGACTAAGCTGATCTATTGTCAAGATTAAATTCGTATGCACCATCCCGGCAATTACGCAATCGACACTTGTTCGCAGTAGATTGCCATCGGACCAATTACGCTAAATTTGGACCGGCAATTCAAATGATGACTGTTTATAATCATCATTGTGAAATGATGGACCTAAATATGTCTTCAACAGAATTAAAAATATATTTCAGAACCCTGCGAAATCAAAGAACATAAGTCCTAATGTTAATATGTAGTATACGATTTTATTGACGAATTAAAAAAATATAAAAAAATAAAAATCAATAAAAATAAAAAAAGAACGTCGAAGCTGCGTAGCAAATACCGGTGTATAAAAAAAAACACCCACAATTCCTCGGGGCGGGGGTGGTGTCTATATATTTCTGGAGGGGAATGTTTACCAGTTCATTTTTGTTTGCCACTCTGGTTATGATGTTATACTTAATTATCTTAAAGATAAATCATCCAGCTCAAACCTTTGTAGGGCTAAGTGGCGGGATCATCATCAACACATAGCAGAGGCAGACCCAGGAGCTCGTGGTGGTCAAGGCAAAAGCAAGCAGCCACCAGGGAAGGAATTCTTTCACGTTGGCTCTATGCACCACTGCAGTGTAGCACTGGAGTGAGTATTTTTTAGCCTTGCCAAAATTCAATCAAATTGAGTACACGAAAAAACTGATTTATAATCACAAAGGAGTAACGCACCAGTATTGGCCATGTTTTTATTTTGGTCACCTTTTGAAAATGTTTCACCTTGTTTACAAATTTGGGATGTTCAGTTGCGTTGCATTTCGACCACAAAATGAACGAATATTGTAATTTAACCAATTTTCTGAGGTATGGCCAAAATAGGAACCTTTGGCCAATACTGGTGCACTTCCCCTAGTTACAAGAAAGATATAATAACGAAGCAACAATACCCCATTTGTGTTATTGACCTGCAGTAAATCAATATTGAGGATCCATAATTGAGGGGAACCTGCAGCAACCACAAGCACTTCGTTTAACGATCGAAGCTGAGTTATCTTCCCATTGAATTCCACCTGTTTTGCAATGAATTCTTTCCCGACAGAATGTTGTTTTGTCTCACTCGAGATTGTTGAGCTTCAGCAACAAACTAATTACAGCGCACAGGAAATGGTGCCCCCTCAACACGAATGACCTAACCATACGTTGTCAAATGACTAGGTTTCAACCGAAGGGGCTATTACACCTTAATCACCATCATTGACCGGTGCAGTCGCGATGGCCAGGGTAGAATATTCTAATCTACATTTATTACTGAGCTTACTTCCGGAGCTATTGTGGCTGTGTGGCTCGGTACATTCAGACGCAAATGTCACACCGTCATCACCGTAATTTGCGCACAATACTCGGGTAGTTTAATACAAAAGCCGATGCCCGAAATGCCAAGGCTTGCATCGAACTTCATGATCCATGGGGCGAATTCAAAATCAACTTCATTCCACACAACACGATGAATGTGTTGACACATCGTTCGTCTTCTTTCTTCCAGTCAGTTCCCATTCATTTTCCACTATCTGTCGACAGTTAAGTATTTAGGGGAAAAGCAATGGCAGCAAGAACCACTTAACACTGCCTGTTTTCCACCCAGCCGAGACTCCCAGAAGCATCAAAACACTCGTCAATGTACTACGGACGACTTTTTCTTCGTCGAACATCTGTTCCATTCCAATGGTCCATTCGACTCACTTCGGAATGGTTCGCATGGGGCAAGAAGCGGAGGCAAGGCCGTCAAGCCACACATAAACAACAACTTTGTAATATACGACGGACGAGATGCATATCTTCTGGGATGCTGCCTTTAATCATTATCGGTGTTTTGACTTGCCTGTTTTTGCGTGTCTGCGGTGCAGTTGAACGGACGCCTGTTCCCTCGATGTTTCGATGCGATCACAGCTTCGACGGCGACGACGATCAAGGGACAGAGGACAGGTTGGTCGAACAACTTTTGCTTTCGCGGAGCTGTCGCTGTTGAACGTAGTAGTAGCTGCAATCAACTTGCTTATTCAGTGATTCGCTGATTTTTTTTATTTTTATTTTTTCCTTCTTCGGTACAATTCCCCACTCGATTTTTTTGGTTTCGGCCTTTTTTATTCAACGTTGACTAGCGACTACCTTTCCCAACTGGAAACTGGTCACGGGTCACCGTGTGCTTATTATACCAACTGCTGCCGAGTGGTCGTACACATTTGCGGAGCACTTATATCTGAACACATACACTCTGATTGGGCTATAACAGCACCGCACGTCGCAAACTGGAATGGAGGAAAAAAACTTTCACACTCACTTTTTTTCGCTTCTCGCTTTTGGATTATTTCTTTCTACTTGACTACCCCACTCGCACGGATATGATGATGTTTTTTTTTTTAAATCTAAAACTCGACTTTTCCCTCAAACGATTACGGTTGAACTTTTGATTTAGATTTTTTTTCTTGGGAAATTAAAAGCCAATCTTCTAATTAACACCAACAGCTTCTCGCTTGAGAACGACTCAAAAAGTTCTCAGTAGTCAAACTCTAGCTCCCAACACCGATAACGATCTGGCGTTGTTATGTAAAAAACAAAATGTTATTCCGCCGATCCGAGCCGCAACAAAAAGCGATAATCTCAAATGTGTGTATAATCAAGCGCTGAAGTGAGGCCTGCGTATGCAATTATCAGCAGATGAGCTCCCCACTCTTCACCCCCTTCGCTGATGATGCTCCAGCAAACAATCCAGTCCAAAGTGGTCCACTTGGCTAGTGGTGGCTGAGAGCTAGTTGAGTAATAATCAAGGTCCGAAAATTTACGTATGCGAACAAACAAAAGCTGCCGAGACTGATGGAGAGAGGCCTGAGGTCCTGAGTGCAAATGTGGGCCACGCTTCGTGTCTTCGCCAAAGAAAAACGCCCCACCGGGAAAAATGTGACACCCTTTTCACGATGCTTTGCTCCTGCTTAATATTCACCGTAGTCTTACACTTCAGGAAGCAATAGTCTGTTGCTGCCTTTGCAATAGTTTCGAGACTCAGAGAACTGGAACGTAAATTTTCCCACAAGCACACACACACACACACACACGCGCGTACACAGAACACAGATGCGTTTGATTGGCAACGCGGTCGGTGTGACGCAAACAATTCGCGAAACTTTCGATAACCGACACTAACTGATCGCAGGGCAGGCACAGTCAGACCTCACAAGGTATCGCGATTTTCTTCCCACTCACCCGTCTCACTCACTGTCGCATCCGTCAAGGCAACCGTTCGAGATCAAGATTAGCAACTGCCCGAACTAGCTATGCTCAAACTTTAAAACGCCACACTTTCGTCATAACGCGAATGAAAACGGGGCACACTCACGAAAAAATCAATCGAACCTGCTCGGAACCTAGTCGAACACGAGAGTCAGCAACTAACTAAGCAGCACCTTACTCGCTCGGGAAACACGTCCAAACCGAAGCGCGTTCGAAAAGAGACTAACTAGCCGACGACGACACCGAGATCGGGGAGCACGGAAGCAAAACTTCACCAGTGTGTCAGGTTTGCTCCCCACTTGTCAAACGTGGCGCATGCACCCCGATATGCTCACTCTCGCACTCCGCATATGATTCAGTCGGAAGCCGATGCTCCACCGCGGAGAGGGAGCGGGAGCGAAATGGAGAGAGATAGAGAGGCCCCAAACACCCATCCATCACGAGGTGCCACGCACTGATGCTGCCCGATGGGTGGCTTGTGTTTTGGTTGAGCTGTGATTTGTGCACCCGGATCGAGAGAGTGAGAGCGAAAGCGTGGTCCATCGAAACTCCACAAAACAGCATCCCACAGCGAGTTGGGGCGCTCTTCAAACGACTCTCTCGTTTAACGGATCCGGTAGTGGAGTAGTGCCAGAGGAGATGTGAGCCGATATTGTTGTTCGAATTCGTCATTCGCGTTCTATAGCAATGCTGTTGATGCAAGCGTAGGTAGTGCTGGGCTTACCTGGAATGGAGAACAAGACACAACAGAATTCGTGATCAGACAAACTGTCGTCGACAACAGTCACTGCGGGGGATTTACATCGCACTCGTGCAACAATAACGACACGGCGGCGCGTGCGGTGAAGTCCCTGAGATGTCGTAGAAGCGCTTGAATTATTCCAATCAGGGTGTCAGTCACTATGCAGAAGGGAAGCTGTCCTGCTGTTGTTTCCGTTTTAACGTAAATGGCCCTGCATCAGACCTGTCGTGGTGGTTACTCATGGTTAACCAGCTTTGAGAGCCGATTTTTTTTTTCAAAATCACAACTATGTACAGAAATGTTGATTAATATGCGCTTCGTTTATAAAAGCTGTGAACCAACATATGTTTGAACGCCCATCTATTATTGTACAAAATTGAGTTATGAACATCAACGAAAACGTAGATTCGATCAGCGCCCTTTTACAATTTTAGGATCCAGGGCGTAGTGAAGTTTTGAAATAGGAGGGGGGGGGGGGATTTTAGCAAAAACATGGTTTAAGATAAAGGATTAAGCCAGATGCCAACATCCTGAAATGGTGGTGGTGGTGTAGTGGTAAGCGTGACTGCTTTCAAACATCCCAATGGGTCTGGGTTCAATCCCAGCCGAGGTCGGTGGGATTTTTCTGAGGCATAACAATCTCTGGTCACGTCTTCCTTCGGAAGGGAAGTAAAGCCGTTGGTCCCGGCCCATGTGTGTTGTGAATGGGTGCGATATCCTACGCAGGTGTCGAAGCTGCCTTCCTGCACATTCGGTTGCTGTCAATGTATGGCAATCGATGTCCGTTGGTGATTGGCACTAGATTGCGGAACAGAGACCGACGTTAAATAAAAGAAAAAAAGAGAGCCAACATCCTGAAAGCCATTTGGCCGAGTGCTATTATGACGGATGCTATTTGGCCAAAGTGACTAAGTATAATGAGTCATTTTAACCAAATTGAATTTTCAAATTTGCATAATGGCTGTCGCCAATTAGCGATTTCCCGTTTTTTTTTTCTCCAGGAATAATGCAAATTTTTCCACTAGTGCGATACACATTTAAAACATATAAATTAAGCATAAAACCGAGGCGAAATGATCACTATGTAAACTACCAGCCATTCCATAGCTTAACAATATAGTGGTTCTCAGAATTTCTTAAAAATTTGTAGTTTTGTTCCTTATCGCAAAATATTAGACGCTTTTTATGATTAGGATTTCTATCAATCAACCATCATCCATCAATCAATCCATTAATCATCCATTCATCATTGCGACTAGACTACCATTGCGTCTTCATTGATACATAGCTTACATAGTCACATAACCTATACCTTTTTTCTGCTTCTGCTGTGCTAGGCTTGAAAACCCAAAACTTGAACCTCAAAAAAATATAACTCCAAAACGAAGAAAAAAACACATAGCTGATTTTTTTAAACGTGTTGTGGAAAAAAGCCTACATGAAAACATATTGCGCCCTCTGTCTACAAACTATTAAATCCATAAAAAAAAACAAATACAATCAATGTTTTACAATACAAAAACCCTATGATATTAAACATTATATTTTTCCCCGAAAAGTATTTTTATTGAGGTCCATATTTCTCGATAGCCAGGAAAGGATCAGTTTTATTTAAAAAATAGTTTATTGAACGTCTGGTAAGGAGGTTAGGAATGACACAAAAAAGAATATCTCCAGTACATCAGGCAAACTTGGGTTGCTGTGATGAACGGTTCTCGTTTAACACCGATTACTTGATCGCCAACATCCCCTCTCAATCGGTGACTCTGAGGTATTTGAACCGTGCATCATCCAAAGCATTTGTGAAGAGATCTGCCTGCTGCTCAAAGGTAGAAATTGGTTCTAATTTGATGGTCCCAGCAGCCACAAGATCCCTGATGTCGATGTGCTTAATCCGCTTTGATTTAGCATCCTTGGTTAGTTCTATACAGCCTCGGTTATCTTCGTATAGCGTGACAGGATCTGTTGATGTCTTGGCGTTGAGGTCTTCTAGAACACTGGCTAACCAATCTGCTTCGGAAACAGCTGCACTTTTTTTTTGACGTAGGCTACGTCTTTAATTTGTATACTGGGGATAAACTTTGTGAAAACCAAAAATGGAACATGAAACAAAATTATGAAAGATTTTGAACATTAATAACTCAGCTGCTCCTGGACCAATTTAAATAACTTTATCACCAAACGATCAGAAATCTCTCTAAGACTGATGATTTTAAAGCGTGAAGCTATTGATAAAGTGATAATGTCAAGCATTGTCCAATTTACAAAAAAAAGTGCTAATTTTATCACTGTTTTCATGAAATAAACGTTCTTCCCAAACCCAGTCCTCATAATCGAGTACCACTTGGTTGCACATCATTCTGCTTTAACCTGAAAAGATATAAAAAGGCGCTGCTGTATGGCATTAGCTCATTCTCGCTTCGGACTGCGTGGTGAACAGCAATAGCAGCAGTAGGAAGGTGGTGGCTAGTCCACTCCTTCACACCCAACAAGCAACAATTGACTGGTCGTGGCAAAGGAGGAAAAGGTCATGGTTAAAGAGACACCAAGCGTCATCGCAAAGTTCTTCGAGATAACCGCCATCGGTCGTCTGGCTCGCCGTGGTGGTGTCAAACGTATCTCCGGTCTGATCTACGAGGTGTGCTGAAGGTGTTCCTGGAAAATGAGGCCGTGATGCTGTCACCTACACTAAACACGCCAAGCGTGCCTTTTCAGGGCCATCAAGCTTATAACAGTTAAGAGTTGGAATAGAAATTATCTGTGCCTGTTTGTCCATATGCAGAACCACAGGCCCCCAACTATCACACAAAATGCTCTCCAGAGTTGTTATCGTGTAACCAAACTTGGAAGCAGGGGTGCAAGTGATTTTGATTGATTATCTTCATAAACTTTCTCTTTGAAAAAAATAACTACAAATTTGGTACGCATATAATTCAAAAACGGAAAGAGTTAAGATAATGATGATTGATCAATTAAAAGAACTAAATGCTCTTCACATTTATTCCGTCTACTAGCGGTCCTACGCCAAGCTTCTGTTCGTGCCCCTAGGCACAGACCCTTCTACTTTTTTGACGTAGACTACGTCTTACGGGAAGGTACTGGGGGTAAATCGAAAATCTAAAATTGCGACCGTCACGAAAAGGTGTAAGGTTTTGAACGCTTATAACTTTGTCATTTATAGATGAAATTAAAATCCAAATACACCAATTAAACTTTTTAAGATAAAGTTTTCCCATCCGACCGCAAAACTTTATCTTGAAAAGCACAGTTGCTTAGGTAGTGTTTTTAAAACTAAGCGAAAAAAAAAAAAAGCCTAACGTAACAGGGAAACACAAAGTTGTGGAAACGCGCTTAGTAAGTTGAGTGTAGAGTAGAGCACAACAAGAATCAAATCTAACCGAATTTGTATTATAGCCGTAGATGGACGCCATAATTAATCAAAGACGGATTTATGTAAAACCACACATACACTTAACAAAAAAACGTAGCCTCTGTAAGCCACACAACCAACACAGTACCTATCCAATTTTCTAAATCCTCTTAATTGTAGAAATCCTTGAAAATGGTGAAATATATCACCGAAACGTCGGAGAGTTGAAGCAATACAACGTTTTTGCTGCAGTAAAAAGACTGAAAGAGCCGTTAAACCCTTCAATCAATCTCAATTGCTTTTTTGAAAGGACATATCAGCTTTTGTAAACAATGCATTTTACTGTCGGTTTGGTATAATTGATAGCTCGCCCCACATACTAACACCACTATATCAGGTAGGGGGGAATTTACTCTATCTGATGGTAGCGTTAGCATGCGTGGGTGAGCTAGAGGACGAAATTTATGCCTGCAGTCCCTGAAAAACCTAGCGAGGAGAATCGATAGGTAAAATTGCTGAGGATATGCGACGTATGGCTGACCGCTACATCGAGCAGCAGCTGAAGATGGGGATCCTCTCCATGAACTGTATGGGACTTTGAATGTTAAGCAGCCCCGAGCTCGAGTTCCTGTAAGGGGAAGTGATGTGCCTGCTCGATTTACACTGTACTATATAACGCATGCACCCCACACGTATTGTTATGTTTCTAATATTTACATTTAGCATATTAATAGTATGAATAGGTGCCCTCCTTGTCTTGACTTTGGGTTACTTCCATGACTTGGTTTTGGTTCACACTCTCTAGCCTGGTTTAGTTCAGTTCTAGAGGCCATACTAATAGCCTGAAAATCTTGAAATAGGTGGCATCGTCATTCGTGTTTTTACCGGAGCCGAATGATAGTTTTTCTACTTCTGCCTTTTCCTAGATGAATCAAAAATCAGAATATATGCTTGTGATGATGCTTGAGTGGTGGTACTTGAATTCGTAATCTTTGCTGTATTTTCTGCTGTGATCAAGTTTGTCGTTCCTTCATGAAACACTCGTTTGGCATCGTTGAACCTAGAGAAAGGAATGACTCACGCGTGTTATTTTATG